GGGACACCACTAGTTACCAGCCTCCAACTAGACTCAGCGCTGCTGATGACAACCCTCTGAGTTCGGCCATTCAGCCAGTTCTCTATCCACTTCACCGACCACTCATCCAGCCCACACTTCCTGAGCTTCCCTAGGAGGATATTATGGGAGACTGTGTCAAAAGCCTTGCTGAAGTCTAGGTAGACAACAGCCACGGCTCTCCCTTCATATACCCAGCCAGTCATGTCATCGTAGAAAGCTATCAGATTGGTCAGGCATGATTTCCCCTTAGTGAATCCATGCTGACTACTCCTGACAACGTTCTTTTCCTCCACTTGCTTGTTGATGGCCTCCAGGATAAGCTGCTCCATCCCCTTTCCTGGGATGGAGGTGAGGCTGACCGGCCTGTAGTTCCCTGGGTCCTCCTTCTTGCCCTTTTTGAAGGGGCAACAGTTTGAAAACCAGTGATTTAGTTTGCAAGACTCAGACAGAAAACAAAGTCAATATATAATTTTACAACTACATTTTTCTTCTTTGGCACATTCAGTTACAGAAAGAAATTGCTCTGCTTTTCCTATCACAAAATTAAAGGTGTTCCATATACAAAATATATGCTCTGTAGATTTCACAGGATAATTGCACAGATAATACCTTAACTGCACTTATTAAATTCTACCTCCCCTCTTTTTTCTCTCAAATACATACTGGACACCAAAGCCACTAAAGAGAAGTGAAGGTGATGAAGTCTGTAACAGGACGAACACATGCGACATCTCCTTTTCTGCAGAGCATTAAAGGAGCATGACACCCCAGTGCCATGTCCCAGTCATCCCATTGACTGTGAATGGACATTTGCTGTCCTCTTCCTGTTTTTCAGTGGAAATTTAGATTTCTTCTAGCACTTTTTTTAATGAATGCTTTGCTCTTTATGGAAAATTTGAATTCTTTCAGGGGAAAGGTAAGTGTCTAAATCCCAAGCTGTTCAAGTTTCAGCTGAAACAGAAAGTGTTTGAGTGCCTTCCAGGAGCTGCAGCTTGGGCTAAGACCACCACTGCACTTAATCACCCTTAGGACACTGTGGCTGATGTGTTACCTAAAGGAAACCAGGCTATAATACAGAAGGTGTACACTCCTATAGGAAAATGAGAATATGAGGCATATATTCCCACGGGGAACCACGATGACAGCTCAGCATCAAAATATTTGATTTACAATGGGCATATTTCAGATTTACTTTTTTCACATGAAACAAAATTATCACCTTTCCATTTTATATGGAAGCTCTGTAGTTAGGAAGATGGCTACTAAGATCTTTTTCTATCTTAGTTTTAATTAGATGTTGTTGACTTAGGACTTCAGCTATTACCTTGTAGATGTCCAGGAATCCACACTGATGGTCAAACCGTGTGTATAGCTCATTCAGCATGCTGATGACCTGCATGGGCGTGCACTGTGCACAGATGGCAGTGAAGCCAACAATGTCTGAGAAGAGCATGGTGACATCATCAAACTTCCTGGCCTGAACCTGCTGCCCCTGCCACAACTGCTGAGCCACTTCTTCAGGGAAAATAGAAATAAGGAGATCTACTGTTTTCTTTTTCTCCTCTTCCAGGGCTTGGTGTGTGCATTCTAGCGTTGCCTTCAGCTTATCCATTCGTTTTTTCAAGCCATCCTGGGCCTTTGCTTGCTCCCCAACCAATATGACATCGCGAGTAGCATCATGGATAGGTATGTCCGAAAGATGGAGGCCTCGGCCCATCAGTTCATCCAGCTTGTCCACACAGGGGGAACCCAGAAACAAAATTGAATTTGATTCTGGCACATGAATCATTTGTCCTTTAATTTCCATCACCTACAAAGTAAAAATAGAGTTTAGAAAAGGAAAAATTAGCTGATAGGTGTGGATCCCCATTCTACTTTCCCCATCCTTCCTCTTCAGTGAAAACAATAAACATAAAATGCAGCCCTTTATACAGAAGCCTCTTACATTCATGTATTCAAGTAATGAGACTGACATAGTCCACTCACCAAGGTGAGTCAGAAAATAGCCTATACTGACACAAAAGTATTCCCATATCAGGTATTGGATTCTATTTCAACCCAACTAAATAAGAAAGCAATGACAATAACATCTATTTTTCAGAATGGTGTGTAAATAATGCTTCTAAATTTTGCTCCTGGAATGTACCTGGCCTTAAAAGCAAATTCCAGAGTAGTTCCTTCTCCGTTACTTAGCTATAAATTATAAAAAGCACAAAATTAAAGGGAAATTACATCTGAAAGCAGGTTAGTGAAATGGTGAAGTAGCTTCCCTTCTTTTTCAGCAAAACAGCTATTAAGTCAAATGTGGCCATGTATAGACTAATCAAATAAGAATACACATGAGAAAGAACTCCGTAAAATTATGAACGTCATGGAAAAAGCGTACTAGTGCTCCTATTTCCTATTTGGCTTCTCATACATGAAGCAGAGTTGAAGGCTGACGTTCTGTTAAGAGTCTACAGATTTCTTGGTGGTATAGATTCATGCAATTCATATGTGCAGAACAGAAGAAGGAACAGTAGGAAAGGAGTAGCAGGTGATATGTCACACTGGTTTACAGATTTTGCATTTGCCTGTTAAATGACTAGATGTTTTGAGTGCCGTCCAGTGGTAGATACCAAGGAGACCCTAGCTTGTTACCTCTTGCTCCATGATGGCAGTCAAGCACAAACTACCAGACTGAAACGGACATTGAAAACCAACTGTAATCATACATTTGACATACGGTGCTACATACATTCTGATTTTTATTAACTTACTTGGGTCACACAAAAGTAACTGTCAAATACTGTAAAGAGACATTTCTCACCTGAATTTTGTATTTAAAAAACAAAACAAAATAAACAAAAACTAACAAGAATATGTTTTGTTTAAGCAGCAAATAACTAAACAGGATAAACTGGACATCTTTGTAAATACAGCCTACCATAGTCTCTGTCATGAAAAACAATAATCGCTAATGTTTTCATTCCAAGACTGCACAAGGACCAGGGCAATACTGTGCTAGGAGATCTAAAAAACTCACAGTCCTTACCCCAAGGATCTCATAGTCAAAACAGGCACAACACACAAACCGTGTGCATCTAAGCACAGTGTTAGGCACCATAATGCCTAAAATTTGTATTTTTCTATTCCACACAATACACTGAAATGAAAAGGTCTCCTCCAGTCACACTTTTTTACATCATGTAGGCATTCTCTCAGTCTCACATGATTCACTTTATCATTTAATCCACCTTCCATCCATAATCCTCCCAAGCAAAACAGGAAAACCTCAATCAGGGAATCCAGAGGTATCTGTAATAATGGTGTGATTTAAGTGTCCAGAGACCTGGAAGCTCCTGCTGAGCTGACAGCCACCCCTACATGGCACTTTCCATGTTTGGGGGAGATGCTGGGAAGCTCCTGCTTCTAACAGGGATTCCTTACATCAGATAACATGCTGTCACTGCAGATCCTACTGTCAATATGGGGACTGAGACTATCCTGTCCCCATGCCCCTCTGCCTCCATACCCCACCCTGCTAGCAACCCAACAGACATAACTTCTGATGTCAGCCTAGGAACTCAGCAAATGAAAGAAAATGAAAGTAATTTAAATTATCAATTTTCCTAATTTGTATTCTCTTGCTTCTATTAATATTTACATTCATAAGCCTTGTTTCCATGTTTCCCTTCGTTCTGGGACAGTCACCTCTGTGAGAAAGCTAGTCAGCTACCTAGATGGGCAGATTTAATGCTCCAAGACTAATTGTTTTTTTTAATTTTAAAAACGTACGGTTCCCTGCTGAAAACACAAAGGAAATAGGTGCTTTCTTCATGCACGCAGTCTCACACTTTCAAAGGGCACATACAAAATTGTTTTAACTCTGAAGTACAAATTGCCAAATGTGACTTACATGGTATGGCATTTCTAAATTCTCTGCTTGTTTTGTTCCCCTTTTCCAGTGAGTTTTTCTGTTTTCTGCTCCTAGAGCTTCACGGGTGTGCAAAATAAATGTATCATCTCATATTATCACTTCTCTCTTCCACCTCCAGGTGGAAATAGGGTGTCAGCTCAGGAGGAGAGAGTGTGACCACAGACCCTGGCTGAGCCAGCCTGGCCTGAGGGTGGGCTGCTTGTCAGCAAGGCAAGGCACCTGGCCTGGAGCTGTGCTCCTCCTGTTCACCTGCTGTGAGACTAGAAGGAAATTACTGCATCCCTCTGTGCTCCTGCTTCACCTTTGTCAATTTGAGGTGTTAACTCTTTGATGTGATCTCTGTCCGTGTGAATACAGTGTGCCAACCTTCCTTCCCCGGGTGGATTCTTCTCAGGAAACACCGATGGAGTGAATAATGTACTAAACAGGCACTCTGGAGTCCTCTGCTCTGCTTCTGGGTAACCCCAGGCAAATTATCAACTCTGAGTGCTTATTTTGTCTTTCAGCACAGCAGGAACAATAGTATTGACTACCCTATAACACACTTCAAGACTTATGTGTGAGAAGCAATGTAAGACAGACAATCCTGTAAAACACCTAACTAATAATAACCTGTTCTTCTGCCCAAGTGAGCTTAGCCCCTTCTTTAACAAGGTTGAAGGTTTCTGGAGCAATATTAGAAACATTTACAAAGATATTCTCCCTGCACAACTGCTCAGTTTCCTGAAAGTTTCAAAGGTTCAGTGCTATTTTGACTTTATCCTCTGAATATTATTATCAATTGCTGTGCTTAACAGGGATTGTTGATTTTTCCTATCGCTCCTTTCATATTACATTAGTCATTCTGATGCACTGCTCTGTCTTGATGACTGAGGGTTGGTTTTTTTTTTCAGAAAAAGGCCTGCTAGTCTCTTAAGTTGCCAAATCAGGGAATCAGAGAGCAGAAGCAAAGCTGCCCCAGCTTGCCTGCAGAGAAACACTCAGGTCTTGTAAAGCACAAAAGTAGAGAAGAGCTAAGACTGCATCGCTCTCCTCTGTTTTTGCAAAGCACTTTCCTTTCCAAAGAAGGTTCTGAGATGATTCAGACTCCTTCTAGAGGACTTCGGTCTGCAGCTGTGATCCAGCATAACCTCCACTTCTTTTCTTTGGACTTTCTTGCCTCTCACATCCTTCTCTGTATCGTAAAGTACAACTGAATGAAATGGGGCATCAGATTCGCCTGAAGTTTGCCTCAGCAAGTCAGACTTCTGGGCATCTCCCCAGAGCTGGACTGTTTTACGCTTGGACTGTAAGCCTAGAGGCAATCAGGATTACATCATCTATCTTTCTTGTAAGCAGGAAAAGAATGAAACATTTCTGTCATGAGTTGTATTTCATTACTGCTACATTTCAATGTTCTCCTGTCTCTTTAATTACATTCTCACTGAATAAAATGAGACTAATCCTACTTTTTTCAGAGGATATTCTCCTGATCTACAGTGGAATAAGAGAACGTTTTGAAATGAGCAATTGCATATTGTAGTTTACAGGATTATATTGCTGTGGCACGATGGTGCAGCCTAAGTAGCTCTAGGATGAAAAACAAAGAGCCTAATGCTGAATTTTACTTTCACAGCAATCCCCCTGCAAAGAAAGGGGAGAAAACAGAAGAGGCCCAGCTTCTCAGGAACTCTTTCAGCCTCTCCCCAAAGACCCACCCAGGGAACACTGACAAACTCTAAAGCTGCTGTTTGAGAACATGAGAGAGTCTCCTACTGTGCTGTGCACCAACAGCTCCTTCACTAGGTACACAATATCCAATGCTCTGCGTGCTCTGGATGCATGCCACCCATGGATTAAGTATGGATCAAAGGCTTATGAATCAAATGCCAACTCCACTGCCTAGTCTTTAAGGAAAAGCATGGGGAAAAGCCTCATTTGTTGCACTGATGGAAGACAATATTTCTCTGTACAAAGACAGGCATTTTGGAATCATGATTAGAGAAGGTGTACACACCTTCTGGAAAATAATACAAGAAATACACGATGATATTTTTGAGAAAGAATTGGGGGTTTAAAAAATAATATTCTTCATCATTAGGCCAGGCCATGTATTCTGCAGCTTCTGCAATCCACAAATTTTAATGGAGCTGTTGCTTTGACTTTTATCAGTACATAATCCCTCCTCAACTGTGATTATAGGCTTCTTTTTTAAGGGTTTTTTATTGGGAGTAAGTTACGAAACTTACAGTGCTAGGCCACACTTTTGTAAACAGTTATATATGCATGCTTGACTTGATACAATGAACAAATTAAATGAGAATAAACAAAGCTGCTTCTTTCACAAGCCCATAATTATTTAGAGGACTGGGAAGACTGGGGGAAAATCAGTTTATGACAAATCCACCTGGACACCATCATCACTTCAAGGTACAAAGAAAATCACATAAGCTCAGAAAAAAAATGTACACTGAGAATGAGAGTATAGAATGACTTTTAGAAAGGTGAGCCAGCTGCTAGCCTAAATTTTAAAACAGCCCGATTCACTTCTCTGAACATCCTGTAGGATACATGGCATTGTCTCAGGGGCATTTACAGCAAGATATTGCAAAGTCTTTGAGCGGTTAGGGGCTTAGGGGCCTTTGTCAGCACCAGACAAGGCAGCAGGGCACTTGCCAAAAGAAATATAATGACTCTGTTTGTCATGTTTCCAGGTGACACATCTAGACAAAGGGCTGCAAGTATGATGGACAACACTGGAATTAAAAAATATCTCTTAAATTGGAGAACTAGGCTAAAACCAGAATTCAAAACGGGGACAATGAATGTGCTTACGCAGAAACACTGAAATGCAAAAAATACAGGCAGGCTAACAGTTCCTAGGAAGATAGCCCAGAGTTCACAGAGTGGAA